GGATGATGTTGGTGATCCGCGAAGAACCTCTATAGAACCCAATGAACTAAGATAACGTTCATGGTACTGACCAGTCCTATATAAGCAGGATGCGCCACGTTTTCTACCACCATTCTAAATTCTAGTGGAGCTTGGAATGCGATCTGGCCTATACAAGGCCTATTTGAGAGAGCCAATCGATTTGCAATGAAGAATATCGATGATTTAATTACTTGGTTCTTATCATACCAACGACATATGTTCTATTTGAAAGAGTAGTCAAGGTGCTGCTTTACTCGCGCCTTTAGATGGAAAGAGAAACCGAACAAGACGCCTTATCCTCCCTTCGTGCTCGTCATTTCGGAGGGAGGGAAAAGGACAGTTTTGAACGATTGACTTTGCGACAGGTTTATTAAGAAATTAGTTAGCAGTCCTGAAAAAATAATAGCTTTTTGTCGAATATGTACATATTTGAAGCGGACATGGTGTAGTTGCAAATGGCCCACTTATCATGCGCACGATTCGGAAATCAAATAACGGATCGGCTCCCGCCCAGGCCAACTAGGCCTTCTACCCTCCGGAAACGGTAAATTGGTACCAGATTCGTCTGGGAGGATAAAACATGACTTGTACATCGGCTGGCCCCCGCAAGTCATTGTATAGGCCACATCGCATTCAATAAGCCACTACGATTCTGAATGGAAGTAGAATGCGTGCCGCATCCCACAAAGGGATTGATTGACGGCGAAGACTACCTATCCTTTTATATACACCAAGCCAGAGGCAGCTTTTTTATCCCCATGGAGAAACCTGGCACCAGTGAGCTGACCATAAAGGATGGAAGGTTTGATTGGCCAGGGCAGCGTTCAATCAGGGGTATGATCCCGCGATAGTGCGCACGATAAGGGACATCATTTGTCACTACTGCACCTATACCCTGAGATGGAGTGGGCATGGTATTTGAACATGACAAAAACGGCTTTCTCGTGGGATATTCCAGTTTGAGACAACTGTCATTTTGTTCCGTGGTGGACAGAGACACGACTACTAATTGTCTCAAAACAAAAATATTTCACCAAAAGCACAGCCACCGCTCAGTCTAGTTGGAGTACGCAGCTACGCCTGCCACATCTCGTGGATTTCGACTGTACGTTCATGCAAAAATAGTCGACAGCGTTAAGAAGCGACTCCTCGAGTGGAATTCACAGAATTCCTTCTCTTCAGCGTTCTTAATGTCTCCTAAGAAAGAATGAGGTAAGGCAGAATGGCCACTCATGGTTTGTACGGTTCATAACGTCGAATTCCTCCAACCTGGCTGCTATTTCCCATTTGAATAGTGTCACAGGTTTCTCGAGATAAAAACTTGACAATAGGCTTGAAAGATGACTGGTTAGAAAGCCGTCATTCTGAAAACCAACGCATTGAAATGCCTTCACGAGAATGGAAGTACAATGTGGGATGTGCTTGATAGGGATCCAAAGGAAATGCTAGCAATATTGTTCTTTTATCCTGACGTCTTGCAATTGACTTATTCTTGAAATTTTCAGATTTGATTGTTTTTATGACATATAAAACCGTCTCTCAATGGAAGTAACGTCAATAACGACGTCATTAACAACTGCATTACACCTTTTTTCTCACCCAGCGCATGAGAAAGCTGATTATTCGTATTTCTATACTCGTTTGCTATTCGGCTGTGTGATTCCAGTTTCCAGACGCGTTCAAGTCAAGAAAAGGTTTTTTCCCATTACGCAGGGGCAGAAGAGCCCATGGAATGGGAAAATTCAATACAGAGAGTTGATCGCTTAAAGGGGCGTTTCGCACTATTGCTACCTCCTTTCATAGTTCATGTTTTAATAGGTCCCAGCTTAGCCAGACCTGCATACTCCTTTGAATTTGCGAAATTCTTGGTCACAGGGAATTCTTCCCAAGATGGTCTGTACAGCTTACGGTTAGCTGAGTAGCATCCGGTGCCCCTACCGAGCCGAACTGCGTTGGCACTTGCAAAAGGTTGATGGGAGAACAGTCAAAATTTGGAGATTCTAGTTAATATAAGTCAGAAAATTGAGTGTCCATACCAAATGAATTCATTCAAAGGAAAATTCAAAAGAGTCCTCTGCTAACGCGAAGCGAATTTCGATTCCTCTTAACACAGAGATTTGACAATCAAGCCAAATAAGTTCTGGAAAGTTTTTCTGGCCT